TACTTGCAGACTAGAACCTTCTATTTCGGTAAAGCGGCACGCCAATGGCAAATCCTTTCATTGTGTAGTTCAAAGCTCGCCGCCAGAGGTCGTAATAAAAAGATATCAATAAAAGCTGATACGCACAGATTTTTAAAATTTGTTTACACCCCCTCATCTTTTCACCCTTTATCAACACTTTCACCTCAAATGATTCACTCTTTACCATTTTTTTCTTAATATACATGGCCATCTTTTCACAACAAGAAACTTAAAACACGCTTAAAATGATACATTTTTGCAAGGAAATGTGGATTTCGATGTTTCCTTATACACATTTTCTATTTTAAACATGTTTTAAGTTTCATGTTGGGAAAAAAATCTACATAAATATTAAAACAAAAAGGCAAAAAGTAAGCCCGCCCACCCACCCTATCTCAAATGTGATGATTTTTTTTTATTCGCCGTGAACCAAGAGGGCGGAGCTTAACTGCAAAACACTTCATTTTTTACAAGAAATGAAAAACATATTTTTAATTATCTTGTTTTTCAAACACTGCTATGTATATTAGAAAAAAAGGCAAAATATAAACCCCACCCACCCACCCCAACTCGATTGTGATGATTTTTTTATTCTTAGAAACTTAAAACACATTTAAAATGGTAAATTTTTATCAGGAACAATGGATTATGCAATTAGGCTCCGCCCCTAGGTCTACCAATGAATAAAAACTTCATTACTATTTAGATCATGGCAGATATGGGTGAAGTTTAATCTTTGGCTTTAATTTTTTCTAGATGTATGTACAAAGTATTCTTTGAATAACACTATACTCAAAAACATGTCTTACAAGGTAATTTCTTGTAGAGAAATAATAAGGAGTTTGCAATTAATAAATTCCGCTCCTTTGGCTCCCGGCAATTAAAACAAGTCATCACAATTGAGATAGGGCGGGTGGGCGGGGCTTATATTTTCCTTTTTCTTATCATACGTAGTCGCCTTTTCAGAACATAGGAAAATATCGATTTTGCAATTGTCCCGCCCCTGAGTCTGACAACGAATGAAAATTTCAACACGATAGAGATCGAGACGGATTGGTTTTCTTTTTTAGTTAATACATTTAGGTTTCTTTGTATAACACGATTACTTACGATAGTATATATATCACATGGTAAGGAAAAGAAGGATTTTATAATTAAGCTCCGCCCCTCAGCTTACGACCAATAAAACAAATCATCAGAATTGAGATAGGGCGGGTGGGCGGGGCTTATATTTTGGTATTTTTTTCTTAACATACGTAGTCATCTTTTCACAACAAGAAACTTAGAACATAGTTAAAATGGTACATTTGTGCAAGGAAATATGGATTTTGCCATTATAGGGCGGACCCTAATTGCAAAATCGGTATTTCCTAATACAAATTTTCCATTTTAAACATATTTTAAGTTTCATGTTGTGAAAATAAATGTACATATATTAAAACACAAGGCAAAATATAAACCCACCCACCCGCCCTATTTCGATTGTAATGTTTTTTTTTATTTACCGTGAATCAAAGGGGCAGAGGTTAACTGCAAAATACTTATTTCTTTACAGAAAATTAAAAACTTACGTTTGAGTATCGTGTTGCTCAAAGAATACTGTATATATTAAGAAAAAGTACGCAAAAAGTAAACCCCGCCCACCCACCCAGTCTCAATTGTGATTATTTTTTTTATTTGCCGTGAATCAAGGGGGCGGAACTCAACTGCAAAATACTTATTTCTTTACAAGAAATTAAAACCATGTCTTTGAGAATCGTGTTGTTCAAAGAATATTATGTATATTAAGAAAACAAGGCAAAATGTAAACCCCGCCCACCCACCCCATCCCAGTTGTGATGATTTTTTTATTCTTAGAAACTTAAACATATTTAAAATCAGTAGCGGCTCGTGGTCTTTTCGCTAGGTGAGGCAACATTTTCGTTTCAAAATGAGCAGGTATTAATTAACATGTTCGCAATTACTTTTGTTAAAAGACAGATTGTTTATTCATTTTTATGAAAACAATACAAATAACTCTGAGTCAGAAACATATCTCGATATGGGTACACTTCTCGAATAAAAAACATTTAATTGCTTTACACAAATCAACGAGAAGGTGTAAAGACTACAGAATTTGCTTTATTAGCATTAAGATTAATTCATGTGATCTAGGGCTGATTTAAATATATTAATCAATTAGTTAATAAAGTTCTGCTCAAATATGGATGAGAGGTTCTAAATCTTTGACATACAATTGTTCGTCGTAAGAAAACCGTGCTTAAATATTTAAACTTTATAATAAATTCTGGAGATTAGAGATTCTTATGTTCCTATCAGCATTGCAAAACTGACATTTTCATTGTCCTACTGTTTTTAAGTTAACTTAAAAGTTTTAATACATAACCTTGGCAGTGGACACCTTTCCTCGCGTCTAATTCATGCACAACTAAATGCACACTAAATGCATTCAGCATCCCTGTTCAGCATTGTGCAGTTTCACCGTGAGATTAAAAAATTCGATCTGATTGGCTTAAGGACGGTAGGCGTTGGTGCCTCCGCTGGCGCTTTGATAAAGCACTGATGACTATTGTCTTTCTCAAAAACATATTAGCACCACTGACTAATCGTACTGAAGATATCCGTCTATCTGAGGCATGCCTCTGTCTGAAGCTGGCCTACACGATGATGATCAGCGCTTATTCCTGTCGAAAGCGCGTACTTCAAATTTGTTACCAAGATGCGTTTTAATAAATCACAGTGTTCTATAAAAGTTGTTTGCTATATCTTTAAAATATATTTGAAATTAACAGATATTAAAACAAAAACTAATAGTCAATTTTTCCAGGGGAGGCACTGCCTCCCCTGCCTCCCCTGACGAGCCGCCACTGTTTAAAATGATCAACTTTTGCAAGGTAGTATGGATTTTGCAGTTAGGCTGAACGAATGAAAAGTTCATTACTGTTTAGATCAGGGCAGGTATGGGTGGAGCTTAATTTTTGGTTTTAATTTTTTCTTACTATATGTACATAGTATTCTTTGAAATAACACGCTACTTAAAAACATGTGTTACATAATAATTTCATGTAGAGAAATAATAAGGATTTTGTAATTAATAAATTCCGTTCATTTGGCTCTCGATGATTAAAAAAATCATTACAATTGAGATAGGGTGGGTAGGCGGGGCTTATATTTTTCTTTTTTCTAATCATACGTAATCGTCTTTTCAGAATAAGAAACTTAAACGTGTTTAAAATGATACATTTTTGTATACAAATATGGATTTTGCAATTAAACTCCGCCCTTGATCTGACAACGAATGAAAAATTCATCACAATTGAGAATTGAAATCGGGGCGGGTGGGGCCCAATCTTTGGCTTTGTTTTTTTCGTAATATACATAGTATTCTTTGAACAACTGATACTCAAAAACATGTTTTTAATTTGTCGTAGTTATTAATTGAAAAACTGAAAAATCAAAAAAATTGGGAAATCGAGACAAAAAACTAAAATGTAAAAAGTGGAAGAATTGAAAAAGCGAGAAGGCGAAAAGTCGAAAAACCGAAAATTAGAAATTAAAAGAGTTGAAAACTTTATAATTAAAAAAATCGAAATGTCAAAAAAATAAGAAACCGAGAAATTAAAAAATAAAATAAAAATTGAACCATTCCAAAATCGAAAATTGGAAGACCAAGAACTCAAAAAATAGAAATATCGAAGTGTCAAAAAATCGAGAAAGGAAAAAATTGAGAAATCGAATCATTATAAAAAACGAAAGCTTGAAAAATGTAGAATTTAAAGTCGAAAAACCGAGAAATTGGGAAATCGAAAAATTGAAAAATCGGGAAATCGAAAAATCAAAATATTAAAAATAGAAGAAGCTTAAAATTCAGAAAACGAAAAATCGGAAAATTTGAAATTCAAAATTGAAAAGTGGAAAAACTGAAGAATTACAAGTTGAAAGATAATCGAAATCGAAAATGGAAAAATAGAGAAATGGAAACATCCAAAGATTGAAAATCGAAATATTAACGAAAAATCGAGAAATCGAAACCACGCAAGGCAGAGAAGTCAAAAAATGAAAAATTAAAAACGGAAAATTCTAAAGTTCAAAGAACTGAAAAACGAAAAATTGAAAAACTGAAGAATCAAAAACTTAAAAAGTTGAAAAATCGAGAAATAGAAATCATCAAAAATAGAAAAATTGAAAAACTGAAAAATAAAACAATCGGGAAATCGAGACATTTGAAAATCTATGATTTATGTAAAAAGTGAAAAAATTGAAAAAGCGAGAAGGCGAAAAATCGAGAAACCGAAAAATTGGGTAATCGGAAAATTGAAAAATCGAGAATTGGAAATATCTAAAGATTAAAACTCGAAAAATTGACAAAAATCGAGACATCGAAACCGCACAAAATCGAAAAGTCAGAAAACGAAAAATTAAAAATGGAAAATTTTAAAATTTAAAGAACCAAAAAACGGAAAACGATAAACTGAAAATCGACAAAATCGTCAAAAAATCGTAAAATCCAAGAATTGAAAAATCGAAATTTAAAGAAATATCGAAATATTAAAAAATAGAAGCAACCCAAATTCCAAAAAGCGATAAATCGAAAAATTAGAAATTAAAAAAATTGACAAATTTAAAATAAAAAAAAATCGAAAAACCGAATTAGATCGAAAAATCGAAACGTCATAGAAAATCAAGAAACCGAAGTCGGCTTTTCAGAACAAAAACCATGAAACATGGGGCCTAATCTTTGGCTTTATTTTTTTCTTAAAATACTTAGTATTCTTTGACCAACACGATACTAAAAAACATGTTTTTAATTTTTCGTACAGAAATAAGTTTTTTGCAGTTAAGCTCCGTCCCCATTGGCTCACGACGAATAAAAAAATGATCACAGTAGTGATAGGGCGGGTGGGCGGGGTTACCTACATTTTTCATTTTTTTCTTACCATGTGTAGACTTATTTCGACAACAACAAACTTAAAACATGCCTAAAATGGTAAATTCTTAAAGTAAAGAATTTCTTACTTTCCGACTACATCGATTTCGCTAAAGCGGCACGCCACTGTCCAAGCCAATCAGTAGGCAGGGCCAACTTTGACCGGTCGAAAACGACACGTGTGTATATTTTGAGGTTAGGTTTTTGTTTAAAATAGAATAGTTCTAATTTTATAAACAACATGGACAAAGAAAACGGTCTGTTTAAACTAAAACCCTTCATTAATACTAATCGTGAAATTGTAGCAAATAAACGAAAACTGACAATTAGTACTAGCGAGGAAGAAGAGGAAGATGTTGAAGAAGAATCCGAAAGCGAACCTGAAGTGGACTGTGATAAGTGGGACGACGACTGCAAAATCGTCACCACAGAACCAAAACATTCAGTACAAGGCTGTGAGTAACTAAAACCACCTGAATGTAGTTTTTATTTTAAATAGATCATTTAATGCCCACATGTAGCCGAAACCCCGACGAAAACCCCCACAAGAAGATCAAATTGGCGCCAGAAATTAGGAAAAGTTTGTTGGATGTGAGTTACAAGAGCGAATTTGCCAAGTCGTGGCTCAAAGGTAGCGAATTTTTGCGAAATGGGACTGATTTGATGGCGAGTCCGTTCAAAGTTTGTGTGGTTGATAATTTTCTGGATAATTCGAATATTTTGGGGGACGTGAGGCAAGAATTTAACGACGTTGATTGGAATTTGAGAAGTATGGATTTGTATGAATTTTCGCAGTCAAAGGATTTGAAATATTTGGATGAGCATGAATATATAACTTCTGTTTATAAGTTCTTGGAAAATGATGTGATGAAGTGGGTTGCTGAAGTCACGGGGTTGAAATTAACGCATATTTCGGCAACGTGTAGCTTGTACAATAATACTGATTATTTGTTGGTTCATGATGACCAGAGGGGGGACCGTATGGTCGCTTTTATTTTATATTTAACGAATCCAGAGGGATGGGACGAAAATAAAGGAGGGGCGCTCCAACTACTAAATAAAAATGAAGACGGACATCCGTTGAAAGTGGTCCGAAACATATATCCAACTAACAATCAATTTGTATTTTTCCAAGTAACAAATGATTCATATCATCAGGTAGCTGAAGTTACGAGTTTTGGGGACACCAGGCTAAGTATTAACGGGTGGTTTCATACTGAAAGTCCACCAGTTTATGAATCTCCCCAATTCCAACCATATCCAGAAGGACTATATGGGGATAAAATTTACAAACAGATTAATTTTGACAGCGAATTATCTTCCTGGATCTGCGACGAGTACTTAGAAAGCGACATAACTGAAGACATTCAAGAATATTTTGAACAACATTCAGAAATCTCCCTCAAAAATTTCCTAAAACAGGAGTCTTTCAACGAAATATCACTAATCTTAACCTCTGATAGTCTAAGTTGGGTTAAAGTAGGTCCTCCTAATCGCTATTGTTACGAAGTTGCAAAAACCAATGACTTACCGTCGGTTCTTCAAAGATTTTTGCAACTGTTTCAAAGTAAACAGATGTTTACTTTATTGCAAAGCTTCACCGGGCTAGAATTTACTGAAGAAACGTCTAGTGTGAAGTTTGAGCTTCAGAAATGGACACCGGGTTGCTATGCGGTAAGTGTAGTTGGTTTTGTCGCCACTGGGGGCGCTGCCACAATGACTTAACTAAAGTGACTTAACGTTGATTTCAGCTGCTGGGGGACTATGACTGGTATGATAAGAAGCAACTAGACTTAGTGTTATATTTTGGTTGTAAAAATAACACCGACGTGATCGGTGCGAGGACGTTGTACGTCACAGTGGACGAAGAAATCCAAGATGCCTTAATCACTCTAGAACCTGAAGAAAACAACCTTAATTTGATCTACCGGGACACTGCCAGGTTTACCAAATACTTTAGTAAACTGAGTCGTTGCGGGTGTTTTTACACACTGATTTGTTCTTACAGCGAATAAAATCGAACCGATTTTATTAAACAATAGTCCTTTATTATTATAAAAGTTACACAGAAGTACGTTTTTTAAAATACTATGAATTAACAAGTAGCATATTGGTAAAATTATTTCAGCAGTTGCAAACTCGGTAGTAGCTTTCCAACAGTAATACCAACCGTGAATACTGTTTGAAACTACCTTCAACACAATACTGTTCGTTTTTGAAGGTTGCTATTGCACTTGTCGCGTCGCTGCAACTACCAACTTACAAATGTAAAATCTAAAAATAACGACTCCCCTAATTTTTAGACTATATAAATTTTATATCAGTCTTAAAAATTTTCCTGACCTTCACAGCCTTATAAAACCTCGTCGACAAATCACCGATTCAATTCCAGTTGTTATTATATTCCGACTTGTATTTCCCATTAACGTAATTGGGTTGAAAATTGACGTTGATGGTCACTGGATGCAGAACGACGTTGTGCGCACCAGGCACGTCCACTAGGTCGTAGTTGCGCAGGTGCGGCAACAGCGACTTATAGTCCATGGTTAGCGGGATATAGTAGGACCCTTTTGCGTGCAAAACGAATATAGGGACGTTGAAGTTCCCTTTGTCCAGCGAACTCCGGGTGATGGGGGAATAGGGGCGCAGCTCGTTGCGGGGGATGGACTCGATCTTCATTTGGTTTAACGAGGAGTTGCTTTCGGTCGGAGAAATTCGCGAATTCTCGTGCTCTGAGATTCTGGTCAGGAGTTCGCTGCTGGGGGGAGAGCTGCGGCTTGAACTGAAAAAACAGTAGATGACTTAAGTCACTTTAATATTTTGACAGGAGTTTACACAGTAAACAAAAGTCGAAACGTCACCGTGAACTTTGCGCCCAGTTTATTTATTTATTTTTTGAAATGTTACACAGGACTTGATATAAATAAAACGGTCCGCAGATAAGTCGGATTTGATGGCCTTTGCAGATAAACAACCACAAAAAATGTGCTTGTTTTTAACAATCATGGGCTATTTGTGGAGTGACATATTTAAATAGTATGAAATGTGTATTGAAACTGAAAAAATTGCCTCAGTTGGTGCACTAAAATAGCGCCCTTTGAAGGTCCATAAAAATCTTGCGTTGTAAAAATTGTTTACTTCGTTATTTTACGTTATTTTTAAGTATGTGTAATAATCAGGAAAGAAGAAAGTTCAAGCGAGGCGTATACATCACATGACTTTTTTCGCGAATAACACAATTTCGTAATTTAGTGTTGTATTTGAGACAAATATTTTTCCTAATTTAAATCACAGCAGAAATTATACGAACCCAATTTGATCCTTCTATTCATTCTAATGGAGACCAACTTGTGCCATTTCTTTTCGGGCTTTCTAAAGGAAGCGAAAATAAAATGTTGCACTAGCACGACTTCAACGTTTTTTTCTTTCTCGTTTTTACTTATCGTTGAGTGTTTTAACTGTTACTACACAAGCGTCGGACATAAAAAAGCTGATAACGTGATAGTACACAAATTCCAGGATTTCTATTTATATCAAACCGAAACTGTCACGGTCGTATTCATAGGGAATGCTGTACTTTTGCACATTTCAAATAATGAAATATATAAAAATTAGCTTCTATTTATCTTCTATGTATTTCAATTTTGGGACTTTTAAATATGTAGATTTTTAAAATTTTCGATTTTTCGACTTTCTGTGTTTTTGATTTTTCACGTATTCGATTTTTCAAAATATTGTCAGTTTTTAAATCTTACATCTTTCAGTTTTTTGATTTTTCAATTTGCTTATGTTTTCAGTGCTTTCAATTTTTCGAATTTTTGAATTTTAGATTTTTCACTTTTTTGTTTTTTCGATTTTTCAATCTTTCTCGTTTTTCGATTTAACGGTTTTCTTTCGATTTTTCCGAATAAATTTTTTAAGTTCTTCGATAATTCATCTTTTCGGTTTTTCGATTTTCCGATTTTTTTCATTTCACTTTTGGAATTTAACACTTTCTCGATTTTTCAATTTCTCGATTCTTCAATTTTCCGATTTTTGAAATTTTAAATTTTTTGATTTCTCCGTTTCTCAATTTTGGATTTTTCGATTTTTCAGCTTCTCGGCGTTTGGATTTAGCAATTTTTCGATTTTTAAGTTTTATATCTTTCAATTTTTGGATTTTTCGATATTCCAATTTTTTCAATTTTACACTTTTCGATTTCTCGTACTTCGATATTTATATTTTTCAAATTCTCAAGTTTTCAAATTTTTTATCTTCCAGTTTATTGATTTTTTTATTCTTCAATTTTACGATTTTTTGACGCCATTTCTTAGCATTTCGGTTTATGGATTTTAAAAATTTTTCAACTTTCCGATTTTTCATTTTTTCGATTTTTTTTTATTTTCTTGATTTATGGATATTCCGCTGTTTCCATTCTTCGATTGTTCGATTTCCGATGCTTCGATTTTTCAATTTTTTTAATTTTGCACTTTCGATTTTTCATTTTTTCAGGTCTTCGACATTTATATTTTTCATGTTTTCGAATTTTCAAACTTTTGATCTTTCAGTTTGATTTTTCAATTTTACGATTTTTTGATTCCATTTTTTAGCATTTCGGTTTTTGGATTTAAAAAATTTTTCGACTTTCCGATTTTTCAACATTTCAATTTTGGGAATTTTTAGATTTCTGGATTTTTCAATTTTTGGATGTTCTGATTTTTTTATTTTCAGTTTTTTCGATTTTTTATTTTTTTATTTTCTTGATTTATTGAAATAACGCTTTTTCCATTCTTCGATTGCCCGATTTCTCGATAATTTGATTTCCCAATTTTTCGTCATTTCAGTTTCGAAATTTTTCGATTTCTCGAGTTTTCAGTTTTTCGGTTCTTCAATTTTCCAATTTTTTAAATTTTGGATTTTTCGGTTCGAATTTTCGGCTTTTCGACTTTTTGATTTTCCGATTTTTCAATTTTCCGGTTTTCGTCAGTTTTGGAGTTTTACAATTTCCCGAGTTTTCAGTTTTTCGATTCTTCATTTTCCAATTTTAAAGTTTTGAATTTTTTGATTTCTCGCTTTTTCAACTTTTCGACTTCTCGCCTTTTCGATTTTTCAATTTTTTGATTTTCTAAATTTTGGATTTTTCAATTTTTCGACTTCTCGGCTTTTGGATTTAGCAATTTTTAGATTTTAAAGTTTTAAATCTTTCAGTTTTTGGATTTTTTGATGATTCGATTTCCCGACTCTTCGATTTTTCGATATTTTAAACTTTTATTTTTTTTTTAATTTTTCGTACTTTCCGATTTTTCAGTTTTTCAGATTTTCGTTATTTATATTTTTCAAGTTTTCGATATTTTCAAATTTTTGATCTTTCGGTTTATTGATTTTTCAATTTTACGATTTTTTGATTCCATTTCTTGGAATTTCGGTTTTTGGATTTTAAAAATGTGTCGTCTTTTCATTGCAATTTGGCGAATTTTTCAATTTCTGGATTTTTCAATTTGCAGTTTTTTAATTTTTTCGATTTTTTTTTTAATTTTCTCACTTTATGGATATTCCGATGTTTCCATTGTTCGATTTCTCGATAATTTGATTTCTCAATTTTTCGTCATTTCAGTTTCGGAAGTTTTCAATTTCTCGAGTTTTCAGTTTTTTGGTTCTTCAATTTTCCAATTTTTTAAATTTTGGATTTTTCGGTTTTTCGATTTTTCGAATTTTCGGCTTTTTGTCTTTTTGCTTTTCCAATTTTTCGATTTTCCGATTGTTCGTTATTTCAGTTTTGGAATTTTTCAATTTCTCGAGTTTTCAGTTTTTCGATTCCCTAATTTTCCAATTTCTCACTTTTTCAGATCTTCGATATTTATATTTTTCAAGTTTTCTAATTTTCTAATTATTGATCCTTGATTGATTTTTCAATTTTTCTATTTAGAATGTTTTGATTCCATTTCAATTCTGGGAATTTTTCACTTTCTGGATTTTTCAAATTTTGGATGTTCCGATTTTTCGGTTTTCATTTTTTCAATTTTTATTTCTTTTTTTTTTTCGATTTATGGATGATTCCGATGTTTCCATTGTTCGATTTCTCGATAATTTGATTTCGCAAATTTTTGTCATTTTAGTTTCGGAATTTTTCAATTTCTCGAGTTTTCAGTTTTTGATTCTTCAATTTTCCAATTTTTTAAATTTTGAATTTTTTGATTTCTCCGTTTTTCAATTTTTTGACTTCTTGGCTTTTCGATTTTTCAATTTTCCGATTTTTTGAATTTTCGGCTTTTGGATTTAGCAATTTTTCGATTTTGAAGTGTTATATCTTTCAATTTTTAGATTTTTTATTGATTCGATTTCCCGATTCTTCGATTTTTCCAACTTTTCGATTTTTCATTTTTTCAAATCTTCGATATTTATATTTTTCAAGTTTCCGAATTTTCAAATTTTTGACCTTTCAGTTTATTGATTTTTTATATTTTCAATTTTACGAATTTTTATTCCAATTCTTGGCATTTCGGTTTTTGGATTTTAAAAATTTTTCGACTTTCCGACTTTGCAACATTTCAATTTTGGGAATTTTTCAATTTCTGGATTTTCCAGTTTTTTCATTTTATCGATTTTTTATATTTTTTTTATTTTTTCGATTTATGGATATTCCGATGTTTCCATTCTTCGATTTCCCAATTTTTCGTTATTTCAGTTTCGGAATTTTTCATCTCGACTTTTCAGTTTTTCGATTTTTCAACTTCCAATTTTTTAAATTTTGAATTTTTTTATTTCTCCGTTTTTCAAAATTTTTTGACACCTTGGCTTTTCGATTTTTTCAATTTTCCGATTTTCTAAATTATGGATTTTTCGATTTTTCCACTCCTTGGCTTTTGGATTTTCCAATTTTTCGATTTTTAGCCACTTCTATTTCTAAATTTTTCGATCTTTCGATTTCACGATTTTTTAATTTTTGGATTTCAATTTCTCAGTTTTAATTCATTTTTTAGATGTTCCAATTTTTCAACGTTTCAATTTTTGGTGTTTCTAAATTTATGGATTTTTCGATTTCTGAATTTCTCAATTAATCGATTTTTTACTTTTTGACTCTTCGATTTTTCGTCTTTCCGATTTCTCTATTTCTGAAATTTTTAATGTTTAAATTTTGGGATTCTTCAATATGTATTTCAATTTTTAAATTCTTAGATTTTTCGACTTTGTTTTTTTTTTATTTTTTGCTTATTCGATTTTTCAAAATATTGCGACTTTTTAATTTTTACATTTTTCGACTTTTCAGTTTTTGATTTTTCGATTTATTGATGTTTTGATTATTATTCGATTTTTTAAATTTTAGATTTTTCACTTTTTTGTTGTTTCGATTTCTCAATCTTGCGATTTTTGCCTTCTCGTTTTTAGATTTTTCAATTTTTCGAAATGAATTTTTCAGTTTTTCAATATGCCAATTTTTCGGTTTTCGATTTAACGATTCTCTTTCGAATTTTCGCCTTCTCGTTTTTAGATTTTCCGGTTTTTCAATTTTTCGGAATTAATTTTTCAATTTCTCGATGTTTCGAGTTTTCACGTTTTCGGTTTATCGTTTTTTTTAAGTTCAATTTTTTCAATTTAGAATTTTCCCATTTTTCGATTTTTACCCACTTCCATTTTTCAATTTTTCGATCCTTCGACTTCTCGATTTCTCAGTTTTTCGATAGTTCATCATTTCGACTTTCCAATTTTTCAGCGTTTCAGTTTTAATTTTTCGACTTTCCGATTTCTGGATTTCTCAATTTTTCGATTTCTCAAATTTTCAATTTTTAAGTTTTGGAATTTTTCAATATGCATTTCGATTTTTAAATTTTTAGATTTTTCGACTTTGTTTTTTTTTCTTATTCGATTTTTCAAAATATTGCGACTTTAAATCTTACATTTTTCGATTTTTCAGTTTTTTGATTTTTCGAATTTTTAAATTTTAGATTTTTCACTTCTTTGTTGTTTCGATTTTTCAATTTTCGATTTGTCGGGTTTTTTAAGTTTAAAGTTTTCAATTTTGAATTTGCCATTTCTCGATTTCTCAGTTTTTCGATTATCGAGTTTGCAGTTTTTCGATTCTTCAATTTTTTAATTTCTGGCGTTTCTAAATTTTTGGATTTTTCGTTTTCTCAATTTCTCGGAATCGATTTTTTGATTTTCTGATTTTTGGATTTCTTTCTTTAATTTTTGGGATTTTTCAAGATTTTGGTTTTTAAATTTTTTATTTTTCGACTTTGTCTTTTTGATTTTTTACTTACTCGATATTTCAATTTTTGGATTTTTGGAGTTTTTAGATTTTTAAAATTCCCGATTTTTCAATTTTTAGGTTTTGACAATATTCTGATTTCTCCTTCAAAAACGAAACATCACATATTTAAAAAAATGACGCTAGGAGTTCCTAAGATTCTGTAAAATTCTTTCCAAATAAAGAACTCCACGAATCCTTGAGATTTTTTAAAAATATTTTAAAAACAAAACACAAGAGGCCCCGAAGATTTTTTTATATAAAAAAAAAACACATTAAAATGGTCCAAAGTTATTTAGACAGATCTTCCCTCGCCTATAAAGTAAAAACATACCTGCTTAACTTCAATTGTTTATGTTTATACATCGAAAGAATGCGACAATTAAGCATGCAGCAAATTGTTCTAAAACGTTCTGAATATTATTTTGGGTAATGACAATTTTTAGTTTATCATTATTAAATCTAGGCGGGCTCAACATTACTGTATTCTAAAATTTTCGAGCCCCGGCGTCCTCCAAAAACCAGTACTCCTATATTGGTATAAAATGTGATAATCTAAAAACGAGAAGGCAAAAAAAAAATAGAAATTGAAAATTTCAACTTTAATCCTTGTCCATTTTATTCCACCTGAGTGTTTAGGGAATTATGGCAACCCGCAGAGAAAAGGCGGAGGAGCTTAATACCCCTCGCTGCTGCGTACCGACAATACTTTTGCGTGCGATAGTACATTACGCTGAAATTAGCTCCACTATATAAAATTATGACTTGGACAACGGATTTAGATTTACAATCTTTGAGCGTCAAAAGCTTGAAGGAGGATCATAAACACTTCTAGAACAAATTTCTATTTCTAATTTTTTTATTGTCATTACATCGAACCTAAAACTCTTTTATCAGACTGTACGAAATCGATTTAAGATGGGACTCAAAGGGCGGGTTGTTTCTAATCAGAGTTCAATAGAGTGGAATTACCTTGAATTATGTCTACAACTTCTGACTACAACGTGAACCCAAGGTTCACTTTAGTTTGATGTTTGATAAAACTAACACGTTCTTAAATTTTATTACTTTTTTTTAATATAAATTAAAAAGATCTATAACTAACGTCAGCAAATTCAAATTTGGATGCAAATTTATTGTTCTGATGATAAAAAATTTATTGAATAAAGATCGATTTTATCAATGAGCGGAAAATTTGGTGAACGAGGCGTTTCGCCGAGTGTCGAATGTTTCCGATGAATAAAACACAAAAACATAAAGTGTACTTTAAGAGTAGGCCTTGGAAAAATACTTTATTTGGTGTGACAAGAACAAAGCGTGGAGCAAAGTTTTTGTTTATAGTGGGATTTCTACGCTTAATTTAGCATACATTTGGTGATGTATTTTCTAGATAAATTGCGGTGTTGGTGAAAAATCTATACCTTTGGTTTTCCACGCTGGTGACCGACTCCCTGCGTCCATTCTCCACTTTCTGCCGCTTAATCCCCTCGTTCACATCCTGACTGAACCTCATCTTAATGTTGGTCTTGTATTTATAGGAAACCCCATTCCCATTACACTCAGGATGTTTGTCATAGCTTTCCACATCATTCAGTCTAACTGTGAACGAACCATTATTGTTATTTGGCTCAGTTTTAGGCGCCTGATAATCAGACCCCTGCACCTGCAGGTTCCCCGCCACTTCTTGCAAATTCCTGTGCTCGACTGCAGGTTGGCTGGGGGTGGCAGGAGACTGATGCGACATCCTCGACAAGCTCTCGCAGTGCTTCTGTAAGTGGTTGAGGATGCGCACACAGAGTCCTTCTCGAGGAAAATGCCCTTCGACCTCCACCATAAACCGCATGGTCTCCGACATGCACTCCTGGTACCCCATTCTGCAAAACCCCATCAAAATCACCCTTTTTCAATTTCGCTAATTACCGGTAGTGCTCGGACGGACTGCCGTGCTCCTGCTGGAGGTACTTCATGTGTTTTATTGCCATCTCGATGATCTCGGTCTTCTCGATCCTGCCTCGGCCCTTCTTGAGGTATTCCGTGGGGATGAGGCGGGACAGGTCGGCAAGACAGTTGTTCATTCGGTCTCGGCGCCGCTTCTCGATTATTCGATGTGACATTGGGTCTTGCTGAAAATGCACGAGTTAGATGTGGCGCAACGAAAGCCTGGAAGCGTACCCTGGTTACTTTGTTCTTTTTGTACGGTCCGTATTCGGAGTCGTCCTCGCTGCAGGTGGCCGTCGAGAAATTCAAGTTTCTGCAAGGCAAATCGTGGAAGTTATTACAATTGTAAAGTCGCGAACTTACGTGTCACAGCATTGGTAAACACCTCGTTCGTCTTTCGGTCTGCCCAATTCATCATTGGAATTGCATCTGGGGAAGAAGAATGGAATTATAATGGAGATTCGGCTGCATGTTGATTTAAATTGGACCGGTATCGTTTGAAATATTTTGTAAATCGAATGCATAATTTCGGGCATAATACGAAGGTTTAGATGCAGTTTAAATTATTTATCCTCTGCCAAAAATTCATGACATCAGTTCAAAATTTGTTTAAGTAAATTTATCGTGCGGATGTCCTCTACTGGTTAAATATTTAACACATGAGTTACCAAACTGGGTGTTAAATAATCTGACAGGTTGTCCTATTTTTTGCGATCGATGATACCACGAAAACAAGAATCATCAAATTTTCAGCAATTTCCCTGTCTCCAAGGTACAGATCGTGTGTATCCTGAATCCAGTTCTTAATTTAGTGTCATTTTTACTTTACAAACTTATTTACTTTCACGGCTTAACTACCAAACCGATTACTTTGTCTATTAGATGTTCTTTGAAGATGTGAAATTTCAATCACAACTTATGTACGTCCAAAAAGTGACTCAGCCACCACAAAAAACCGTCATTTTCGTATTCTACAAACTGCAAAATACAAAAAAAACATGAATTTCTATGAAAAAAATATTGTTTTCTTATACAATGTTGTATTTGTTCTTTTTTACTTCCGACCGTAAGCTAAGAAAATGTAATATCTTTTCTCGACGTTTCGTAGCCTCTAGTCATCCCAACCAACAATTTTTGGTAAACGTCATTTAAACTACTTTATAAAATAACATACTCCTGTACTTGTACTTTATGAATCTGCCTTGATTTTTTACCCTAGATATCCAGAGTTTCGCAAAAAAATTGAAAATTGTATAATAAACTTTAATGCTAGTGTGTGATTTTTTTAATTTGAGTTAAGTGGAGGCTCCGGAAACAAGTTTTTTTTTCGTATTCTACAAAAATGCCGCAGTTGATTATATATTTTTTCCGAAAAAAATATTTATTGGCTTACTTAAAACTTCTTTTTTGCTTCCGGAACGTAAGCTAAGGAAGTGTCCTAATATGTTTTCTTGACGTTTCATGGCTCTTAGACTATGAAAAAATAGGTCTGCCGCTCCCGTCTTCTCAGTCGTCTGTGTCGATTTTTATTAGACAGATAATTTTTGAGACTACTAGACTGAAATGCTAATCAAAATTGGGCTAACAATTTTGATGACGTCCTCTGAACATTTTTTTTGTAAACGTCATTTATACTACTTTCTAAAATAACATACTCCTATACTTGTATTTCATGAATCTGCCTTGATTTTTTACCCTAGACATCCAGATTTTCGCAAAAAAAATTGAAAATTGAATAATAAACTTTAATACTAGTGTATGATTTTTTTAATATGAGGTAAGTGGAGGCTCTGGAAACAAGTTTTTTTTCGTATTCTACAAAAATGCCGCAGTTGGCTATATATTTTTTCCGAAAGAAATATTATTTATTTTCTTCGCTTATTTTTAACTTCTTTTTTGCTTCCGGAACGTAAACTAAGGAAGTGTTGTAATATGTTTTCTTGACGTTTTATGGCTCGTAGAATATGAAACAATAGGTCCGTCGTTCCATCTTCTCTGTCGTCTGTGTCGAGCTTTATTAGACAGATCATTTTTGAGACTACTAGACTGAAATGTCTATGATTTTTTTAATTTGAGATAAGTGGTGGCTCCGGAAACAAGCTTTTTTTTTCGTATTCTACAAAAATGCCGCGGTTGATTATATATTTTTTCCTAAAGAAATATTATTTATTTTCTTGGCTTATCTTTAACTTCTGTTTTGCTTCCGGAACGTATAAGCTAAGGAAGTGTTGTAATATGTTTTCTTGACGTTTCATGGCTCTTAGACTATGAAAAAATAGGTCTGCCGTTCCGTCTTCTCAGTCGTCTGTGTCGATTTTTATTAGACAGATAATTTTTGAGACTACTAGACTGAAATGCCAATCAAAATTAGGCTAACAATTGTGATGACGTCCTCTGAACATTTTTTTTTTAAACGTCATTTAAACTACTTTATAAAATAACATACTCCTTCCTATACTTGTATTTCATAAATCTGTCTTGATTTTTTACCCCAGACATCCAGATTTTCGCAAAAAAAATGAAAATTGTATAATAAACTTTAATACTAGTGTATGATTTTTTTAATTTGAGATAAGTGGAGGCTCCGGAAACAAGTTTTTTTTTGTATTCTACAAAAATGCCGCAGTTGGTTATATATTTTTTCCGAAAGAAATTATTTATTTTCTTTGCTTATTTTTAACTTCTTTTTTGTTTCTGGAACGTAAGCTAAGGAAGTGTTGTAATATGTTTTCTTGACTCTTAGAGTATGAAAAATAGGTCTGCCGTTTCCGTCTTCTCTATCGTCTGTGTCGATTTTTATTAGACAGATAATTTTTGAGACTACTAGACTGAAATGACAATCAAAATTTGGCAAACAATTTTGATGACGTCCTCTGAACATTTTTTTTGTAAACGTCATTTTACTACTTTATAAAATAACATACTCCTATACTTGTACTTTATGAATCTGCCTTAATTTTTTACCCTAGACATCCAAATTTTCGCAAAAAAATTCAAAATTGTATAATAAACTTTTATACTAGTGTATGATTTTTTAATTTGAGATAAGTGGAAGCTCTGGAAACAAGCTTTTTTTTCGTATTCTACAAAAATGCCGCAGTTGATTATATATATTTTTCCGAAAGAAATATTATTTATTTTCTTGGCTTATTTTTAACTTCTTTTTTACTTCCGGCGGGTAAGCTAAGGAAGTGTAACATGTTTCCTCGACGTTTCATGCCCCTAGACTATGAAAAAATCGGTCTTCCGTTTCCGCGTTGTTTGGTGTTTGTGTCGATTTTTATTAGACAGATAATCTTTGAGACTACTGGACTGAAATGCCAACCAAAATTTGGCTAATCACCTCAATCAACAATTTTTTCGTAAAGGTCATTGAAACTTCTTTATAAAATAACCTACTCCTATACTTGTATTTTATGAATCTGCCTTGATTTTTTACCCTAGACATCCAGATTTCCGCAAAAACAAAAAGCCGTCATTTTCGTATTCTACAAACTGCAAAATACAAAAAAACATGAGTTTTTACGAAAGAAATATTGTTTTCTTATACAGTGTTGTATTTGTACTTTTGTACTTCCAACCGTAAGCTAAGGAAATGCAGTATATTTTCTCGACGTTTCATAGCCGCTAGTCCAGGAAAAATAGGTCCTCCGTTTCCGCCTTATTTGCTGTCTGGCTAATCACCCCAACCAACAGTTTTGATATATACTTGTACTTTATGAATCTGCCTTGATTTTTTTACCCTAGACATCCAGATTTTCGCAAAAAAATCCAAATTGTATAATAAACTTTTATACTAGTGTATGATTTTTTTTAATTTGAGACAAGGTTTTTTTCGTATTTTACAAAAATTCCGCAGTTGATTATATATTTTTTCCGAAAGACAAATTCTTTATTTTTTTACCTTATATTTAAGTTCTTTTTTACTTCCAGACCGTAAGCTAAGGAAGTGTTGTAATATGTTTTGTTGATTTTTCATGGCCCTTAGACTATGAAAAAATATGTCTCCCGTTTCCGTCTTGTCTGTGGTCTGTATAGATCAATTATCAAATTTTGTATATATTATAGCTAAAATTTATCTAATCACCCCCACCAACAATGTGATGACGTCACCTAAAAATTTTGCATGGTAAATGTTACTTAATTTTGTCCATTAACATAAACTCTTATATTTGTGGTTGATTTTTCATCCTACACAACTAGATTTTTGGAAAAAATGGAAAAAATCAAAATTGTATAATTTAACATTGAACCCAAAACCGGATGCTTTGAAAGGATATGTTGTACCGAGCGCAAGCGAATGACTACTTTAATGTTTTCTCGATATTTCATGCCCTCTAGAATACGAAAAATTAGGTCTTCTGCTTTCGTCTGTCTATCTGTCGTATGTGTCAATTTTTATTGGGCAAATAATCTCCGAAACTACTGGACCGATTGTGGTCAAATTTTATATGTATGTTAAAAATATCGTACAAATGGTAAAAAGTTAACCAAAATCTGTCTAATCTCCCCACCAACAATGGAATGACATCATCTCCAAAATTTGCAATAGAAAATGATATTTATATTTTATAGTATAAGATACCCCTGCACTTGTAATTTATGAATCCGTGTTGAGTTTTTACCAGTCATCCAAATTTTTAGAAAAAAATCAAAATTTTATAACAACATAAAAACAAATTTGATAACGTTATCTCAAAATTTTGCCGAATAAATCCTGTCTAAAATTTGTAAAACATTATGAATCTATACTCATGGTTTATAAATGCATTCTTATTTTTTATAATTACTTATACGGGGTGACTCAAAAAAAATCAATGAACGAGGCAATCTATTTTATTGATAAAATCAAGAACAGCTCCAAAATTTGAATATACAATCCTATCGTTATTATTATTATTACAGTGCACCTATTCAACTTGATATGTGTCCTTGATAAAGTGTTGATGACGTCACTACAAAATTTTGTTGCGGAAAAATTCTCTTGAAACATAAGCACAGCATGCTTTTTTATCTATACTTTAACAGTCCACACATATCTTTATTTTGAATTAAATTTTATAATTTTTCGACGAATCTGTATTTGTTCGCCTGTGTTTCAGGGGCGAGGGAAGTTATGTCTAAATAACTGTAGACAAATTTTTTTAGTAAACGTCATTTAAACTGTAGTTGTAGTTTATGAACCCGCCTTGTTTCCTTGTTGTTTTAACCTCAATGTGTCTCCATGACAGTGACATTTATATAAAAAATAATTGAACTGCTCTCTACGTCTTTCACATTTTTGCTTCCAGAGTCTCCCGTTACGTCAAATTTAAAAAATCATATAGTAGTAGCATAAATCAATGAAAATTTTCCAAAATCTAATTTTATAATTTTTCGAAAAAACTGGATTTGTTCGATTGTGTTTAAGAGACGAGGCAAGTTCATCT